GATTAATCTCTTCTAGCATCAGATTCTAAGGCATACCAATATGAGAGCGAGGGCAGGTCAGAAACTGACAGTCCCCAACCTGTGGTCTGCTGAAGATTTCAAACTAAGTTTCAGAATAAGCAGAGACTTTATCTACTATTTGGTGATCCTCCTTCCTCATAGTTAGACTTCTTAAATCCAGTTTATCTCCCTCTCTGCATGTTCTCTCAGTTGATTCCCCAGAAAGACCAAATTGCTGAAGAGGTATCTAGAATGTTACTAAAAACTTGAAAATCTTTTTTTTTTAGATTGTATTTATTTATTTGACAGAGGGAAAGTGAAAGATCACAAGCAGGCAGGCAGAGAGAGGGGGGAAGCAGGCTCCCTGCTGAGCAGAAAGCCCAGTACAGGGCTCGATCCCAGGACCCTGGGATCATGACCTGAGCCGAAGGCAAGGCTTAACCCACTGAGCCGCCCAGGTGCCCTGAAACTTGAAAATCTTTTAAAGGGTGTTAAGAAGACATTCAGAGGATGTTCTGTTTTCTAAGCAATACAACTACTATTCCAGGTGGGCCTTGTCTATATATTTGCAAAAAATAAATCAATTTAAACTATTAACACTGTTGTTTGCCTTCTTAGTCTGTAGACAAGCTGGTCAAGGTAGGCGTTTGAGCTGGTAATTTGGCCAGAGGCTCTTAGAACCGGCCAGGAAAGTTTCAGTCAATGCCTGTTTTTCCAATAAATGTCTTGTAGCAAGCTGAGGTATTCACAATCATGCCATTGATTTTTAATGCAGCTCTTACACTATTATAATAAGCTTTTAATACCTGTTGGTTATTGCTGCAGATGATGTTTCTCCTGCTGACTACATTTTTTTTTTTTCAGGCTAAACCTTATTTAACTTTTCTTTCCCTCTCTCTCTCATATCTTCCAAGTTTATTCAAAAGCCCCAAGCAAGTATCTGCTAATACTGGACTAAATAAAAGCTACTACTAAAAAGCCAGTAAGTGTTGTTAAGTCCATTTTTCTTTGCCTTTACTCTCAAGGGGCCAGCTTGTTACTTTGTTGACAGCTATCAGAGTACTTCATGCTTCATTGGAGATCCATCAAAAATTTCCAAATTGCTAGCTCATTAGCACAAAATGGGGCTTCAGGAATCTCTCTCTCTGTGTGTGTCCCAACTGTGCTTTTTTAAGTGTTCCAGGCTTGATGGACCACTCCAAAACAATGGATAAAGACCACAGGGAAATGAGAGATGGATGTTAATTAGTCAGTTTTCAAGGAGTGAAAAATGGGTGAAGACAAAGTATAATGGGGCAAAAAGCCAGGATTACCTGTGTCAGCAGAAGGATAATGCATGATTTTGTTAACTGTTCACAGGTCACTGAATGTCAGAGCTCCGAGGCCCTCAGAGATCATCTAGTCTGACCCCCTGCCTTTAACCAGTAAGGGTGAAAGAAGCCACAAGAGGGGAAAGGGACTTTTCCAAGGTCAATCAGCTCTTCCCAATTTTCCAGAAACCAGCTGGCTTTTGATTATATGACCTTTATGCAATCCATTTTCAATTACTTGGGCCACTCACTGCTAAGCTCAGCAATCACTTGGATAAAATAAAATGACACATAAGTTAACCATTGTTTACATTGGGCTTTGGGATGTGTGTTTATACTGACATTCCTGTGTGTCTGGGTACAATCTGAGAATTCACAACACTTGAAATGAAACAAGAAAGCCACCCTAAAAGTCTGATTCAGGAAGAGCTGGGAAGTTGATCAGCCTTTCTGAATGGACAGTATCAAATGATGATACACAGCCCATCAAGCAGGGCAGGTTATTCTCAACAAGTTTGTTGACTGACACCTTTCCTGGGCCTCAGCCAGACTTGTACATGGGGCAGTGGAAAGGGGAAAGAAAACATTTTATAAAAGAATACATACATCTTCCCTCCCTCCCTCCCTCCCTCTCTCCTTCCCTTCCTTTCTTCCTTCCTTTCTTTTCCATTCCTTTGCCTTGATAGGATATCTTCTATATAAACAAATGTGTGGTTGAGCCACTGACCTGGAGAACTGGCAATCAGGAAACAAAACAATAATTGAAGACATGCTGGAATCTAGAGTTGGAGTGCTGGAAAGACTAGTAAACAGTAATTTTTAAAAACATTAAAAAAGTCAGGAGAAGGGAGAAGGAATCAGTTGCATAGCTCAGTAAATGCCCTGGGTCTGGGAAAGGACTAGTTTGGAGTATAGTCCAAGGGACCTTCAATCAAATGGAGTTTCATTTCCTGATCTGGACCCATCTGGACTGTGGGACTGTGCCAGGTGCCCATAATTTACTTCTTTGTTGTCTGCAAATTCTTGTACTTGTGCTAAAATGGTATTATTACACTCAACACATCTGTCCTGAGGACGAGGCTGCTAATGACTGAGAGGGGGCAGGAAACAGAAAATGGGCATGTGGGGTGCCTGGGTGGCTCAGTCAGTTAAGCGTCTGACTCTTGGTTTTGGCTCAGGTCATGATCTCATGGTTGTGGGATCAGACTCCCAGTATCCAGCTCCATATCAGCCGGGAGTCTGTTGGAGAGTCTCCCTCCACCTCTGCCCTTCGCCGTGCACATGTGCTCTCTCTCTCTCAATAAATAAATAAAATCTTTTTTTAAAAAAAAGGAAGAAAGAAAGAAAAGGGGCATTCATAGTCAGCCTGAGGCTGTAGTCCAGGAAAGAGTCCCTGCAAGGACTCCGTGACAGCCCAGATGGCAGTTCGGAATGCAAAATGCGTAAGCTTTTGCGGCAGCAATAATCATTTTTTTTTTAAAGGTTCCCCTCTTTCATTTTCTGGCCTAGAATAAACAGAGATCTAGTCGATGTAACAAAGTGCTTAATTAACTTGAGATGATACTTAATATAAACACATATTCAAGGGGAGATTTGCTACTGGTAACAGTAATATGGATAATTGAGTTGCATGAATAAAAAATGGGTAGAGTGAATTAAGACTAATGTACATCAACAGGAAAAATCTATTAGCATTCATTAGTTGGGCTCCTATTTGTGGCTCTTTGTTAGTCTAAGGAAGCCCTTTTAGATGGCTGATCCCTGTTGAAAGTCCTGCCTGATGCTGAGGGCCCTCTGTGGCTGCCAAAGCAATGAGTCATTCAAATAGAACTTCTGAAATTCAAGCACAGCACTTTGCCTTTTTTTTGGCAGCAGGCAGCAGTGACTGTGAAGTAATAATGATAATAACAATGGAAATTAGAATGTGATCTTAATTTATTTGCTGAGAGTTTTTCCCCATTTACCAATATTGGCTTGTTTTATCTTGAGTGGTGGCCCAGGTACTGGAACGAAGGTATATATATATTCAATGTCACTTGGCTAACCTATGATTTGTCAGACAAAGGTTAATTTAAAAAAAAAACTGTTGGGTTAGCAGCAATAAATTTAATAATAGTCTGTGATTTAACTTAGAATTTCAATTTATTTGATGGGATTTTTAAAATCCTGAATTAACATTTTTCTCTGCACTTAGGAGGTCTCAATTGCCAAATTGCATATGAACTAGCCAACCTAAAGCTCAGCAATATTCTAACTTTCATGGTGAGGGATAGATTGGAGGGATTCTATGAAAGACTGAGAAAAAAATTAGAAGAAGAGTAGAAATATAAAAACACCCACAGCAAAGACCAGCCTTTGGTTGCATCACTTAGAGTCTATCTTTCCCTAAAGATTCTATGGTTTAATCATCCTCACCTTCCTTGCCCCTAGGAGAAAAACAAACATCTCTTCCTGATTCCACCAGTGGGTTGGACCTTTTTTTAAATATAACCATCTGTGTGGACATATGAACTTCAGACAGTAACCTAACCTTGAGGCTGAGAGCTATGCATGCTTTGTTCATTTCTTCATCTCTAGCTTTTAGCATGCTGTCCTGTGCATACTAGAAATTCACTAAAAATTTGAGGAATGATTAATGGAGATGAGATGAGATGAGATGAGATTAATGAGATTAATGAGATGACTCCTGCCACCATGGATGGAGTTGATGTCCTATTAGGTAGAACTCACCTTTGTGGTACAATGAATGTTATATATAAAAGTAGCCATAATCAAGGACCCATGGGGGACATTCTGCTTTGCTTTTATTTCTGCTATTATTTCTGCCTTTGCTTTCTATGCCCTCCAGCCTGACTACCTTCTTGCCAAGATTGCCCTGGTCAATGGAAATTCTGTAGGCTGTGATGGTACCATGAACACCTATGTTTCCAGATTTGGTGAATGCCCTCTGTGTTCCATATCCTAGAAGCACTGTACTAGGCACTTGTTGAAGAGACATAGATATGTGATCAGTTACATTGTTGTACATCCTTTGTATCTTTTGAATTTGCAATTCCACTTACAGAATATTGAGTTGGATGCTCAAGGTCTTCAGAGTCCCCTCCCTTGCTATAATCATCAGAGCTTACATTAATTGAGGACTTAAATGTTCTCAGATATTCCCTATGCTGACAACCCTGTGAGGTACATACTCTTCCCCATCAGGTAACTGAGACACAAAAATATTAGGTAACTTGCTCAAGGTCACTCAGCTAGGAAGATTCAAACTCAACTTTACCAGGCTTCAAAGGCTGCCCAAAGATGGGAAAGGACTTGCTAAAGGTCATTTTGCTGGAGCCTAGCTCTTCTGGCTGTAATTTGTGTTCACAGTTTGCTATGCTATGCTGCTACTTCAACTGACACTCTCATGTTCCTTCCAAACATCATTCTCATTTAGAAGTTCTTGTCTCCCCAGATGGATGTGGATTTCTCCAGAGCAGAGATTCCATTATTTTGGTATTGCTTCCTTCCTTAAGGGTTTGCCCAAGGTAAATACTAGCCTGTGATCAGCTTCTTAGCTGTTTCCTGGAGCCTCCTGGAGCCATTCCCCAGTACTACTTATGGCTCTGACGTTGGGAGGAACCAGGAAGTAGAATTTTGGGTAAGGAGTAATCTCACCACCTGCTTCCTGTTTTGTTTTCTGCAACACAGATTGAAGATGGGGGCAAGGCAGCCTTGTCCCAGAAGATGAGGACTGGTGATGAGCTGGTGAATATCAATGGCACTCCATTGTATGGGTCCCGCCAAGAGGCCCTCATCCTCATCAAAGGCTCCTTCCGGATCCTCAAGCTGATTGTCAGGAGGTAAGGTACAGGGAGATTTGCTGCTATAAGGAATAGTGGCCACTGAAACTGCTTGGTTGGTACTAAAACCTCAGTAGAGGTATGTCTCTATCTAAACATCATCAAAGAAAGAGGTGTCATGAACAGAATTTTGCAGACAACTGAAGCAGAATGACATAAGAGAAAAGGTCCTTGGTTCAAATCCTGACACTGCTACATAGTACCTCTGCACCCTGGTTAAATTTATTTTATGTCTGCAAGACTCAGTCTCCTTATTTGCTACCGAGAGAAGTAAATGATTCCATATACACCAAGGGCATACTTAACCTGGTGTTTTTCTGTCTCCTTCATAACAGGCTGCTTCTGTTCCACCACAGATTTATATTTTTTCAAGTTTTTATTTAAATCAACCACAAGATTTAAAGAAACCTTACTACCAGCCATAGTAGGCATTCTGGAAACTGGAAAACTCTAAGATAGAAACCCTGCCCTTGAGGAGAATACAGCCAAATGGGGGAGAAAAGACACACGTGTGACAAATTAGCAATACCTTTTTGAAAAAAAAAAAACAATATAGGGGATTTCATAGGCTGAAGGCTTGCTCAATGGATTGTTCAGACAGAAATTGCTATTAGAATTCAAGAGAAAGAGAGAGTACATCAGAAGAGATTGGTATGGTAAGAGTTCATAGAGGAAGTGGAATTTGAGCTAAAGGGTGGGTAGAATTGGACAAATAAGCCATCAGGAGGAGAAAGGCATTCCAGATAAGAGGAGTGGTCAAAGCAGAAGGAAGGTAAGGACATATTTGGGCACAGTTGCTCTGCTGCCATTACACATTTGCTTATTGTGGTGAGCTTTCCATATGGCTTCTTCCATTTTGCTGCTGTATCTTTGCTCCGTGTTACTGGAGCTTGTACTTCTCCCTTTTATTTGTTCCCTTTATCCTATACTTGAACCTGAGCTTCACCATCTTAATTAATTTTTACTAGAAAAAAAAATTTTTAAAGCATCTTCCCATAATCCTACTTCCCTCCCCTTCTGGCTACTGCCCCATCTTTCTCCTTTTGTTCATACTCAGTCTCTCAAAAGGAGAGTCTATAATCATTGTCTTCATCCTCAATTTAGCTTTCTACCCACTACAGTCTGAATTTGACCTTCAGAGCCCCACTGAAACTATTCTGTCAAAAGCTACTATTACTTCTTAATTGTTGAAGTCAGTGGGTTGTTTTCAGTCTTCATCATGTGTGACTAGTATATGGCATTTGCCATTGTTGCTCTGGATTATGTTCTCCTTTGTGAAACTCTCCTTTCTTGCTTCCAAGATACCCCATTTTCTTGTTACTTTCCTACCTCTCTGTTCATTTTTTAAAACCATGTTCCTTTACTACCTGCTCTTTCTCTGATCATCCCTTATGTGTTGGTGTTTTCCCTAGTTCCACTCTTTCTAATTTCATTAATATACCATGGAAAACCTCATTCAGTTCCAGAGTTTCAGTTATCATTTACATGTATCTATGACTATATCTCTTGAGCCCCAGTCTCCTATAGTCACCTTCCCACTGGGCATTTATACTTAGATGTCTCAGAACCATTTCAAGCACAATATGCTCAAAACCTAACATGTCAGCTTTTTCTCCCAAGCTCCTCATCTCAGTGCCTGGGATCACCATGCATTCAGTCAACCAAACCAAAAATATAGAAGCCATCTTTAATTCTTCTGCCATTCTCATGCTCTATATCCAAATGATTTATCTTGAGAGCATATATAAGGGGGAAAGAGTTTTAAGTTAGTAAGGGTGAAGTTACATAGGATCCCATTAATTTATTGGATTACCTGCTGGCACCTAAGATTAAGCCATCCCTGCTCATGAACCTGAATAGGAAGTAACATGTTAAGTAATTCCTTATACAATAGATGCATTGCCACTGACTCAATCTCGAATCATCGTAATTTAGGTTTTAAATAAGGCTTCTTGGAGAGGTGGCTTAGTAGTTTTTGCTTTAGATTCAGATAGACCCATTTATGGCACTGCCTAGTTCTATTCAGATATAATGGCATTGTTGGGATGATTAAATGAGGCAATGTATCTAAAATGCCTTTCACTTATGAGGTCTCAAGGAATTTCATTCCTATTCCTTTCCCTGGGGTATAAGAGAAGCACAATTGGAGTAACCAAACATTATTAAACAAGGAGAACATCAGAACTGTAGTGTACTTTCCAGCCTAATCTTCACAGCACCGGATTTGCAGGGAAACCATTAGGGCTCTCAACATGAAATAAAGTTCCCTGGGAGATACCGGTTATACAGAGATAGCAACACTTGGAGGGAATGTAGACACCATCTCTGGTGGCTTCTGAGCCAGTCTTAAGAATGAGTATCATCAGGCTGTCACCTACTCATCCTCCCTTGGTAAGCACCATGTTCTCTTTGTTCCTGCTGTAGCAACATCTGCCCTTAGCAGTCACTTAGGAGTATCTGTAATTATGGCTTTGGAGATAGTAGGGCCCTTTGGTTTTCATGGTGTGGCAGGTCCTATGGCTCCCTGTCTACCCTTTCAACCTCCCCCCAGCGCCTATTGGCGGAGGCCCTCAATGACATAATTTATTAGGTGATGCTGCCCTCTTGTGGAAAAGTTAACCTTCGTGTATGGATTACCCCAGGAATGGTATTATCAGGCATTTATAGCCTCTTTCTTAGTCCAAATGGTTCCTCAAATTTATGAAGGAGCTCTTAGCACATAAATGAAATGTGATCCCCTGAAATTTAATAGTGTTTTATACTAAGTTAGACTTTGGTTTCAGCACTGAGGTTTAGGTCTGGACTCCAGTCCTTCGGGATGAATATAATGAGAAAGAAGAACTTTAGAAAATGCCCTTGTCTGAAAAGCCACGCCAGCTCTTTCTCCTATATTGCCCTTTAGATCATGATCAACCAAGTCAGAAATCTAGGTGTTAACTCTCAATTCATCTCACTTGCCCCAACCCTCTTCAATCTAAGTAATTCCAAGTCTTAGTCATTCTACTTGCTATACACCTCTCTGCAGCCTTTGTCTTCATCCAATCGCTCATGATTTCTTACCTGGACTATTGGAAGAGTCTTTTCACTGGATTCTCATCTTCTTGTCAATCCTCCTTCTGATCAATCTATTCTCTAGATAAGACATCTGGTCATGTCACTTATCTATTTGGAAACAAAATGAAACAGGAACAATAACCATACAGTCTTGTTGGTCCCACAAGATTTATTTTATATTGATAGAACATACAAATTATTTTAAGGATATTATATTCATGAAACATTTTTTACATGCAAATATTTGAAGAAAAGACTGTAATTCAAAGAAGAACAACTATAGAAATGTCTATATGGAAGGCTCATACAATTTAAATATGACAGATAAAGTAGACCAAGAAAATAAGTACTTAGAATATTTAAAAAACACAATTCATCAGATTTAATTAATAACAAAATTATATTTGATGACAGTGAATACACCCTCTTTCAAATATTCAGAGAACATTTTTTAAATGATCATATGGTATGCCACAAAGAAAATCTTTGCATACTGTTAGAAGTAGAAATCAGGCTTGCCCTGTTCTCTGATGATAATGTAAAACTTCTACAAATTAGAAACAAATTTGAACAAAAGTCTTCCACTGCTTTAATATTTCAAAACACATTTGTATGCAAGTATTAACCAAAAGAAACACTAGCAGACTAATAAAAACAAAACAAAAATGAGATCACAATTTCTCAAAACTTTGAAAGCAATATTCAGAAGTAAATTCATAACCTTAAATATTTCATTATTAAAAATGAAGAATGAAATTACATGATTAAGAATCCAATATAATATGAAGCCAAGGGGTATGTTGTTTTTATAGGGAGATAAATTAAGTAGATAAGCCTCTAGCAAATTTAATTAAGAAAACAAAGATAAATTATAAATAAAATTTAAATGATAAATAGAATAGAACAAGAAATACAAAGAACTTTTTTAAACTATGGGAAACTACTATAATTGTACCTTAATAAATTTGAAAACCTCAGCAAATTTGAAATATCTAATAAAATGTTAAACACCGTGCATTAGTAGGAAGTTTAAAACAAAATGGGCCTGTAACCGTAGAAACATTGAAAACAATTATCAAAGAGAACTTCCAAAAATACTTTAGGGCCAGATGTTTTTTATCAGTGAATTCCTTCAAATTTTCTAGGAATATTAGAAATGTTATAGAATTGAAAATCCTGCAGAATTATTCACATTGATTTTAAAACTAGCATCATTCTGATACCCATATCCGACAGACTGTTCCTCGAGGCATTACGGATTAATTTTCAGGAATCCGTTGTGAAAGACTAAATCCACCTCTCTTACGGCAACCTCTTCTTCTTTTAACTTTCTCATACTCCATTCTCTTTACAGCTACTGTTTAATATCATCAAGGCCTTAAATATTTTCTCCTATTCTTTCAGTCTCCTTTAATCACCATGGCCTATGATTCTCCTTATTCTATGTGCTGAATCTGAGCAACTACACTCATTCATAGTTTTAATTACCACATCTGTGCTCTTAACTTTATCTCTAGTTCTAATCTGTCCCCAAAATTCGTATGTACAGTGGCCTGGTAAAAACCTCCACAGGAAAACTCAACAGTAAATGCAAGCGATGTATATAAATCTGAATTCATTATCTAGCTTATAAAACTCTCTCACTTTCCAGTAGCACTGGGTGGTACTTTCATCCACCTAGCCATTCAAGTGAGAAACCTCAGTCATTTTTTACTTCTTGATCTCCTTGTTAAGCCATGTTAATTTTACCTTTTAGACACTTCTAGAATTTATCCTCTTCTCTCCATTTCCACTGCTTTTGCCTGGTTCAGGCCCTCATCATCTCACCTCTGGACTATTTCAGTAGCCTTTCAGCTTTCTCAGATCTATCTGCCAAAGTGTTGCCACAGAGATAAATCTAAAATACAGATTCAATTATACCACTCCCCTGCTGAAAACTTGTCAGT